TTTTTCAACCAAGTGTTTAGTTTCTCTCAGACTGACATAGAGAAAGTATGATGCGCAACTTAGAATTTGATGATTCTTGAATTTGCAAGCTCATAAATTTGCCACTAATTTTTCTTTTGCCAATCGCCAGTCCCTGCACACATTCTGAATCAAAGTATGATTTAGAAATAAAAAAGCCTGCAAATAAGGCTCACTTGGAGACAATATGTTACATTTGTGTAAACTCAACATTTACATTCAATATCTTGAAATGCAGTCTTCCAGTACCGTCATCGTCCTACTTTTAAGCAAGTGATACAGGTTAAGACAGTAACATGCACTGTGATCAGAAAATTACAACACAAACTTGAATCTCTTGGATTCCAGTTGTGAAAACAGTGTCACAAGTGAAGAATACCAATTTTATCAAATACTCAAGATTCTGCAGAGGACAGAAACAATTTCCTGAAGTTATTCAAGCCTGTAATCAACTGAAGCTTATTTACATACAAACAAAATCAAAGCCACTGAAATCCAAGCTCTCAATATCCTAACTGGGTGTACTTGCAAGATCAGCAATTCAATTTCATACAACTAAGTTAGGATGCTTTTCACATGTGGTTCTCTCAAAGTTATGGTCACACTATACATAACAACAAATCACCGAGGAGCAAGCAAAATACTTTTCAGTCGGAAAGTCAGTTAATTTTCAAATCAGTTGCAAGTTTGCAATAATCAAATTAATATGCTTTTTCAATTCTGGTAAAATGTTAAGCATCAAAAGAACCACTTCAGTCAAACTCAAAATAAATGTGGACATTTAGGTTGGTTTTCATCAAGGACAGTGAACTACATATGAGAAACAAAATCTCAAGAAGCATTCCAGAAAGCTCAAGCTTACATAATCTTAAAATAGAACCAACCATGATGGCATAGCTGGTAAGTGAAACGTCAGAACACAATTTAGTTTTGTACGCCTCATCACATGAAATCACTGAATTCAAGTCACATCAGGAAGCACCATGCAAAAACATGAAGAGCAGGAGCAGCTCCTGGAGGTTAACCAGTAGCACTGAAACTGGTCCCATCTTACAATTTAAGCTGATGTTTGTTCAAGGTAACTGAAGAAATCACATGAAACATAGTGGCAAGAAACTGTTCAAAATGAAGTCCACTGAAATGCTATCAGTATATTGGAATTCTTCATATGCAATGTAATTTCTAACGACATTGTATTCATTGATAGGGCACTATCAGTTCATTTTCAGCTGCTGAGAAATTAGTTATAAATCAATACAGTATTACATATCACAGGTAAATCCAAGGTCAGAAGTTTTTTCTCAATATATTCATTCACAGGACACACACCTTGCTGGCTAGGCCAGCACTTGGATGGCAGTTTCCTTCACTAAATGACATGAGTGAACCAGATAGGCTTTTCTGACAATCAGCAATGGATTCAAAGTCATCAGCAGACTCTTACTTCCAGTTTGTTATTGAATTTAAATTCTGCCATCTGCCATGGTAGGATTCAAACCTAGGTCCCCAGAACATTACCTAGGTCTCTGGATTAGTAGTCCAGCAATAATACCACCAGGCCATTGCCTCCGCTAGTAACAAAGTTATGGATTGCATTTTGCAAACATGAATGAAGTATAAAAATATTTGCTGATATGTTTTCTAATAAGTGTTTAGAAAAACAATATTTTGAATATTGACAGTACTGATATTTTGGCAGCCTTTCAGAAAGACAATGGCCCGGCTCTCCATGCTAATATTAGGTCTATTAGCTCAGCATCGTCCATTTAAAACTAACGGCTAAAAGACACAGAATCAATAGAAAGGAAAATACAGGTGCCCGTTCCAGGTCACTAGATAAGTAACCCAGAACTCTAGGCTAATATTTAGGAGATGTGGGTTCAAATCCCACCAAGGCAGAGAGGTGGTCATGTCACTCGACTAGCCACCCAGAATCCCAGGCTATGCTTAACACCCCTGTGGTGCAGTACCCATTACCTTACCTCTGGGCCAAAAGCTCCAGGTCTGAGCAACACCTGCACCACAGCTGTGACATAACATGTCTGAACAAGGTGACTAAAATAACTGAGGGAAAATGTATATTTAAAAAAAATACAATTTGTATTCTGAACTGAGATTTTTACGGTTGAACATCAGAGCTGAGAACATAAATAGAATTAGGAATTTCGCATCAATCTCCTGGCCTTCTGCTCAATTGTCTACTTCACTTTGAACCACCAAATTTTCCACGCAGAGACTCAGCAATGCCAATGTTCCAGAACTGATTAAAATAAAAAGATACTGCAAACCATAGAAAGCCAACAGTTAATTGCAAATCCTTGTGAACTGCTTACACTGATTTAACAGAAAACTAAAGAGTGTGAATGGTCACCTTGAATAAAAACAAAAGAGTTCCAGCACCTTCTGCAGAGATGTGACCTTTGATCAAAAGTTGTAATGAAAGGTTGCAAGCTGAAACATTAACTCTGCTTTTCTCTCCACATAGCTTGTCAGACAGAGCCTCTCTGCTCCTATGATGCTGCTTGGCCTGCTGTGTTCATCCAGCCCTGCACCTTGTTGTCTCTGCTGAGTATTTGTGTCATTTTTCTACCTTTATTTCAGATTGTCAAGTTCCAGAGAACTGTTTCTGTTTTGTTGTGAATGGTTTCCTGAACTACTTAAAATTATTTATCAGCTCTAATTTCTATACTTTCACACTAAGATTTAGAATAAAAAACAACAGTCTGGCTGTCTGATCATATTTTGTGCAAACTTACCAAAAGCAAAGGAACATTTGAAGACATTAATATAAAATTTTGGAAACCCATTAGTACCAAAATCTGAAAATAGATGGGCTCTGGTGGTCGTTACCTTGTACACGTTTCTCACCATTTGACATGTCAACAAACTCACTAGATATTTTCTGTTATTTCAAAGAATCACTTGGTTGAGACTCTGTTCAAATCCCAGACATACTTATGGAAGAATTACCATAGAGCTTCCACATTTAAAAGATAGTTTGATTGATTTCTCATTTAAGTACAAAGAAGAGTTTGAATAGTTCATAATCCAATCTTAATTTTCTAATTCAACGTGTAAACTTATTCCGGATTACTTTTCTTTCGCTGGCTGTAAACACTAATTTACACCTTTGAGAAATGTGGCACAGTAATCTATTTTACAAAGATAATTTCTAGCAAAGCATGATCACAAGCAAGTTTCTACAGTCAGTTACAAAAAACACTAAATTAGATCTTGACCCGAGATTTCAAGCTGTTTGGAATATATCTGTATAACTGAAACTTCCTTGCTTCTTACCAAACTGATTGAGTAAATGCGACCAAATATTTGTACAAACATGAAATAATGCTGCTACTGTTCCTGGTTAGCTGTTATTTGCATATTAAAAACATAACAGTTATGTTGATGTCACCAAATATTAACTTGAAAAGCAAGGCTATGCACTATTGTCAAACAATTCAAGATCAGTTTCCAAATTAAAAATGATCCAAAAAGTCCACACGTTATAAATCTATGGGTATCCGTAACGTGATGGGTATTCTGAAAAATAGAGCTGGCAAAGAAAAAGCAGGTTTAAAAAATGTCGTAATGTTAATCCTGCATCATCAGAAAACAGGATGCATGTGGCTCATGGCACTGCACCGATCATGAAAATATTAAACTAATGCCGAAAAACGGTGATAAACACTGCATTGTTTCTTTTAAAAATCATGAAGTCCCAAATTAAAAGTAAAATATAGAAAATCGGCGATTATATACATTTATTTTAATATACATATTGATAATAATTGAATAACACCCTGTTTGGGCGTCTCAAGTCAAGATCCACCCTGCGGTAAAAAAAATCTTGTTTCTCCTCACTCCACCCAAACTCATCAGTACTGTTCCTAACCTGCAAGTACACTCATCCATTCTATTACGCACAGTTTTTTTAAAAAATGAAAATTAAGGGATTAGAGTACGATGTATCCGGGCGTCGGCCACAGCAATAAAGGGAGAAAAATACCAACCTGCATTTTTCGACATAGAAAGGAATTGGGTCAAACTCCAGCCAAATACACAAAAAAAAGAAAATGGATGTCCATTTTTTAAGAGGCCACGTCGGCGACTTTATGATGTTTGAGGAACTGCGTCTGAAACATACCCAAAGGTCGTAGAGAAAAAGGCAGCGACAGAGCCGGATCATTTGAAGGTCCCCCGTTTTAATGTTTTACCAACGGCCGGGCGCCATTTTATTACCACACAGCAAGGCAGCGGCCACATAATCTGAAAAGAAGCTTTCCTCGCCTCAGCTTTTTCTCCACCGAACGCTGTATTTATTCAACCTCAGCGATTACAAACCTACACCAACTCACCCTGAAAAGAGTCGCCTTCGACACGGTGGGCTAATAGCGACCATTCAGACGAGAATCCAGAGGTTTCTTTTTACGGCTGTCAAACAGAATTGCAGCCTCCCCCCGCTTCTTCGCTCAAACTGTTTTTTTTTCCTCTCTCTCGCCCGGGTCCGTGTCTCTCTGTCTCTCTCTCTCTACGCTGCCGTGAGGAGTCTGCGCAGAACAAGCTGCGCACATCAATCCGTCTGTTTCTCTCCGTCGCGTCCTCCTCCACCCCTCTTTCCTACTCCTCCTCTTCCGAAGAAGTGACCGGGCACGGCACGCTGCTTTGGCCTTCACGCCTGCGCACTGCACCAGCCTTTCACACAGGCGCCCGGGATTCGCCCGCTCCCTCGCCTGCGTAGTGGAGGGAGCGAGGAAACCGGAGCTTGACTCAAGAGGGTAAAAAACTGGAGTGACGCCACCCGACTGTTGGCGAGCATGCGCCATCCACCAACGATAGCGTCAGCCCGGGCAGGCGGGATACGAGTGAGGCTGCGCAGTAGGGCGGTGCCCAGTTTGACAGCGGTTGGGGCGCGCGCGTTTGAGTTAATTTGAATGTGAGTCGTCCTGCTTGGAAAGATACTTTTTTTTAAAAAAAGTCTACTAAACGTTATGTCAAATTTATTTTCGAGTATTATTTGATAGTTTTGCATCTGAAGGGATGAAAATGTCTTAAAAGGTTCTTGCTGCAGTTCCTGCCCACAACTCTCTCAGGTACATCATTGATGCTGCGTCCTTCTGATGTCTGGAATTGAAAAAAAATGAATTTTGGTTCCAATTTCCATCACTTGCCTATCTCCAACTTCTGGCTTCCATGACAGCTCTTTTCATTTCTGTGGATAAGCTGATCACAGAAATCCATCACAAACCCACTGACTCCCACAGTTGCCTTCACTATACCCTCAGACTTTGCCTGCTAAAAGGACTCCATTCCATTCTCCCAGTTTCTCCTTGCATCTGTCCTGATGATGCCATCTTCCGACAGTGCTGGGGTGGCCTCAGACGTCCAATTTCTCCCAATCTGTGGTCGACAGTGACCTCAGTCATATCTAACATATTTTCTGCTCTTCTCCCTTCTCTCCTGTCCCACAAGAAAGATAGGGTGCCCTCTTGTACTCACTTTACACCCCACCAGCCTCTGCATCCCACAGATCATAAACTGCTATTTCTGTTAATTTCGAGCAGCATGTGACTGCCAGCCACCCATGCTCCTCCCTTGTCAGCATTCCACAGGGACTGTTCCCTCTGGTCTACTCCTCTTTCACTTCCAACACTCTCCACATGCCCATGGCACCTTCCTATGCAATTGCAGAATGTGTGTAACTCACCCATTTTCCTCCTCCCTTCTCACCATCTATAACCCCAGACAATTTCCAGATGAAGCAGTGCATTTCATTCAATCTGGTACTCTGTATTCACTGCTCATAATATGGTCCCCTCTACAATGGGGAGACAAAGTGCAGATTGAGCAGCCACTTTGTGGAACACCTATTCTCCGTCCATAAAAATGACCCTGAGCTTCCAAATGCCTACTACTTTAACACACCACCACATTCCCATCCTCACATTTCTGTCTCAGTCCTAATGCAGTACTCCAGTGAAACTCAATGCAAGCTGGACAAACAACACCACATTTTCCACCTATGCACTTTACAGCCTTCCTGACTCAACGTTGAGTTTAACAATTTTAGAATATGAACACCTCCCCAATGTCTCTTATTCACCCCATACTCCCAGGCCCTGTCCTGTATGCGTTGCTGCCCACATTGCCCACCCAATCCCTGTTTTCATCTCTTCCCTGGCTTACTATCAACAATTCCTTTGTCTGCTTCCTTTTTTTCCTCTTGCTGGGCCATCTCTGTCCCTCTCTACCCCACCCCTATCACCATCATGATCATAAGTATCAATATTTCCTGACTGCTTTCAGTTCTGGTGAACGCTCACTGGACTCAAAACATGAACTCTGTTTTCTGTCCACAGATGTTACCAGACCTGCTGAGTTTCTCCAGCAGTTTCTGTTTTCATTTGTTTCAGACCTGCAGTTCTTGGTGTTTTTATATGTCTTAAAGATTGTTTGTTTGTTTTTGATGAGGGTGTGTGGAATGTGATCAAAATTATGACTATACTGAAAACATCACCACCTTGACCAAAGGTGGTATGGGTTATAGGACAGATGAATCAAATTTGCCAGTATCAGCAAATTGGTAAAACAGTTTAGGATTAATGATTAAAACAAATGAAATCATTGGAGTCTATTGATTGGCCAATTCAGTGGAGAAATAGAAAAGGTTTCCTGTTTGATTTCTAACCTGCACTGTAGCTAATTTCAATTGTGGGTAGGACAGTTCTGGATAGTCTTTGGTTTTGCTGTTTAGATGCTGACTTTCAATTGCTCAGGACATCCCATATATCCTTAAACCACTAGGTAACTGATGGTCCCAGTTGATACCAAAACCTACTCTTCCTGTTGCTGCTCCCAGCCAAACAACACCTTCATTTCCTGTTTTCAAATCCCTCCATTACCCTTGGCCATCTCCACCTTTATAGCAAGCAGGATGGAGTTTAAAAAAAGAAGTTTCTTCTTATAACTGTAAACGCCATTGCTGAGATTGTACATAGACCAGTGTTTAATTTTAGTACCTTGCGTAAACAGAGACATAATTACATTGCAAGTAGTTCAAAGAAGGTTCACAGGGTGGATTCCTGGGTGAAGAGGTTGTCTTCGCAGGAAAGGTTGAGTGGGTTGGAACTAATGAACATGAGAGGTGCCAGAAGACTGGAGGCCAGCTAATATAGTACCATAATTCAAGAAGAGTGGCCAGGATAAAGTGTTAAGGAAAGTATTCAAAATTATTCTGAGGGACAGAATTAATTTCCATTTCTAGAGGCAAGGGTTAATCAAGGATATTAAGCGTGGGTTTATCAGGGGAAGTTCATATCTGATAGGTTTGATTGAGGTTTTTTGAGCAGGTGACCAGAATGTGTGGATGTATTCTACTTGGACTTTGGTAAGGCTTTTGATAAGACCTCACATGGAAGACTGGTCAAAAGGTAAGAGTTCAGAACAATTTGGCAAATTGGATCTAAAATTGGCTTAGTGACAGGATATGGAGGATAACGGTGGAATGTTTTTGTGTCTGGTAGCCTGTGTCCAGTGGCATACTGAAGTGTTCAATGCTGGGTTCCTTGCTGCTTGTAGTGTATGTTTATGATCTAGATGAAAATGCAGGAAGTTTGATGAGTTCACAGGTGACTTGAAAATTCACCTGCTAAATAGCAAGGAGTCTTAGACTACAATATAGGCAGGCTAGTCAGGTGGGCAGAACATTTGCTAATGGAATTTAATCCTGAAAAGTGTGAGGTGATTCATTTTGGGATGACAAAAAAGACAAGGGAGTACACAATGAATTGAAAGACCCTAAGAAGTACTGAGAACCAGAGGGACATTGGTGTACATGTTCACAGATACTTGAAAGCTACAGTATAGGTGGATAAGGTGGTTAAGAAGACATATGGGATACTTGCCTTTATTAATTGAGGCATTGAATACATGACAAGGGAGATTATGTTGGAATAAAACAAAGAACTGCCCAAGCTGGAGATCTGAAAATTTAGAAAGCGCTGGAAAAGCTCAGCAGATCAGGAAACATCTTGTCCAGTGACCCTTCTATATAAGACATTCATTAGGCCACAGCTAGGAGTACTCTGTGACACTGCAGTTGCCACATTATAGGATGAATGTGAATGTACTAGTAAGGATGCAAAGGAGATTCACCATGAAGTTGCTTGAGCTTGAGAGTTTCAGCAATCCAGAGAGACTAGATAGGCTGGGCTTGTTTTCCTTACAGTAGAGAAGACTGAGAAGCAGACCCGATTGATCTCTCTGTTTCTCCTTACTCTTTTAAGGGACTGCTCAAAATGTATCTCTGATCAACCTTTTCTAATTTGTTCTGATATCTAGTTTTGTTGTCACTTCTGAGCAGTACTTGGTGGAGTGGGTGGGGTGAGGTGGAGAGAAATTGAGGTCTTGTGTACAGTAGATAGCATCTCTGCCACTGACACAGAAGTTCTAGGTTTACGCCTTTCACTTCAGACTTCATGGCCAAGGAAGGTTTATTCATAGGGAAGGCAAACAGTTCACGTATCATCCTGCAAATCCTTCCAAAACAACAATGTCAGATGATAAGAGTGGGAGAGATTCCTGGTCAACCATGCAATGGAAATAAATGGGAGTCTGTACCGTCACTGTCAAATATTTCAGACAATAACGTGCATGTATAAGTGCATATTGCCACAGCAGCCCAGATGCTGAGCGAACAAAAATATTCTACCATTTCAGTATTTGCAACATGTTCACAAATTGAAGGTATGAATGTAAATCTAAGTTGTAGATGGGCATTGATGAACTGGAGGTGCTTATGGAACTAAGGAGGGTCAAAGAGGACCATGAATACATTTAAAAATTCATTGGAATTACTTTTCAGTTGGAATTCATTGGAATTTTTAACCTGAAGCTTTGGAGGGCTGGCCTATATGTTTCTAATAACAGGTGTAATGAGTGAGAAGTCCTGATGGAGGATGCAGTATAAAGACCAAAATTCTGTACTCAAGCACATGAGAAAACATCTCGTCAAGACCATTCAGTAAATTTCAATCAAATCACCTGTCACTCTTCATAAATCCAGTGAAAACAAACCCAGCCCATCTAATCTTTCCTCATAAGACAGCCAGCTCATTCCAGATATCAACTTAGTGTCTCCTTTGAATAACATCCAAACATTTACATTCAACCTTAAATATACAATGTTATGTCACCATAGTCCCAGAGGACCATAGGGCTGCTCTCATAAGAGAGAGACAACTGATGGTGGTTTAACCTGAGAGTTACCACACTTCAGGTGAGGGGCGAGATCGAGAAGGTGGAACCTTCATGATGGCCTCAGCTGGAATGGAAATTGAACCTGTGCTGTTGGCATTACTCTGCATTACAAACCAGCCACCCAGTCACCTCCGCTAACCAATCCCTCTCAACCTTGAGTAAGGAGACCGAAACTGCATAAAATATTTGAGATGTTGTTTCATCTATACCATGTATAAACGAAAAATAATCTCCTTACTTTTCAGTTCCAATTGTAGTAAAGGATTGCATCCCATTAACCTTCTTAATTATTTTCTGTACCTGCATACTATCTTTTTGTGAATCATGTACTGGAACATTGAGATCCCTCTGTACCCAAAGTTCTGCACTTGTTCTGTGTTTAAATAGGGCTTTTTTTTTTTTATTCTTCCTACCAAAATGAACAATTTAACAATTTCCCACAATATACACCATCAGCCATAATTTTGCCCCATCACTAAACATATCTATATCTGTCAGCAACCTCCTTGTGTCCTCTGCACAGCACACTTTGCTGCCTATCATCTATGATCTAATTAAAAAGCAGGACAAGCCTAAAGGGTTGCAATTCAGTTCATCAGACTAGGACTCGTTCCTGGCTTGTATGTTGATCAACAGAAAGCACTCTTCTGCATGAAATTATTCATAAAATGTCAATACAATTGAGAGATGAATCATTCATAATACCCCAGGTGTGTCTCACCAAAGCCCTGTACAATGCAGCAAAATTTCCTTAGTTAACTCATCCAATTGAGATTGCTTGGATTAAAACTGGAAAATGCTAATTCTGAATTGTTATCAGAAGTGAGATTTCATCTAAGTGACTTCAGAGATCAAAGCTATTGCTT